GGAAGAAATTCCTTCCTAAGGCCCAGTCTAAACCTGCCCTCGGTCCACCTGAAGCCACTGGAGCCATTGCATTGCCTGGGAGAAAACTGTTCTGCTCAACCAGACATCACTGCATAAAATATATAAATTATACACACACACAAATATAAGTTACAATTCAATGAACAATTCAGTTCAGCTCTGTTCCTCTATTCTCCCCTGCTTGGGGTAGACTTAACTCAAATCCATCTCAAAGAATCACCCATTTCGCTGAAGGAAAACACCTTTTCTCACCTAATTATTAAACCTGGATTTCTTTAAGTCACTGTCCCTTCTAAAATGACAGATGGAAAATAATCACAAAACCTCAGTGGTGTCACATGAACTCCTCTGCTCTGCCCCTGCTGTGAGGCTCAGTTTAGCAAGTTCCTTGTTTAAAGAATGTCACTTACTAGCAGTTGTGATTGATATATCACTCAGGACACGTGGTCTGGCAGAAAATGATAGAAGGACCAACAGATGAGACCAGTCTGAAGGGTTTAGCTGATGCAATTAAGCTGCTGTATGGTACAGAAGCTAGAGAATGGACAGCAGATGATGTTATCAGTCTTGTGGATGAGCTGTCAGGTGTGTTTTTGCCTTTATCATTAATCCCCGGGATTGTGGATCCTCACGTCCTCCAAACCCAGCTGAGTGCTGCAAAATTCCTCTCAGTAGCTGTGGCTTAACTGGAAAAGTCACCACACTGGGATGAGAGAACCCCAGTGTCCCTTACACATCCAGGCTGTCTTTCCCCACGGAGAAATCCTTTAAGAATCCATGCAGATTTTTAAAAATTCAAATCCTGCCACGAATTATTCAGGAAACATTGTCCAAACATTGTTTGCTGGGGCAAAATTCTCCTGAAGAATTTTACCAGCTACACTGAGAGTTTTGGCCGAGGTTGTGTCACAGAGATGATGTGGAGAGCTCTGATTATCACTGGCAGGGATTATTTGTGCAATTTCACTGCTCCCCTTTTTGCCCAGAGGTGACTGAAATCCTCTCTGCCTCCTTCCAAAGTCCTTCCCCAGGAGTGGCTGATGGAGAACAACGCCCGGCTCCTCCTCCTGAGTGGGAACAGCATCTGCTTCACCTTCATGGCCAGCAAAGCTGTCAATGGCAGGGCTGTGGAGCTGGCCAGGCTCATGGTCTTCATGGCTCTGGTGAGTACAACTCCCAGATTTGCTGCCTCAGCCTGGAGAGGTTTCCCCTCCCCTGCTCCCACACACTGGGAATCAATCCAGCCAGGAGCTGGCTGCTCTCCCACCTCTCCAGCAAATCCCTGAGGAAAAGCACCACCAGCAAAAGGTTCAGAATTCCCTTTGTGCCAGCAAGAACGAGCTCTGTGTCCTTGTCACAGCCCCTGATGTTCCTGGCCTTGTCACAGCTGATCCAGAGCCCAGAGCCAGTGCTGAGATCTTGCTTCAAAAGCTGTGGTTTTAACCCTTCCCTTGCCCTGCAGGTGTGTGAGAAGGACCTGTACTGCATGGACTGGGCAGTGAAGATGATGCAGAAGGTCTGCAAGGTTTTCAGCACTCCCTGGGAGAGGAACAACTTCCTGCAGTGCCTGGAGAACACCTTTGCTCATATGCTCATGGACATGATGCAGGCAGTGCTGGCTGGTAAGGCTGGGCCCCTGGGCCGGTTCTGGAGCCAGCCACGGCATCCAGAACAGCCTGACCTTCCCTCCCTCCCCAGGCAGGGCAGTCCTGCACAGCCTGAGGGGTTGGAGATCATAAAATCCCAGATTTCCAGAAATTCACAATGGTTTGGGTGGGGTGTGGCCTTAAAGCTCATCCAGAGCCACTCCTGCCATGGGCAGGGACACCTCCCACCATCCCAGGTGGCTCCAAACCCCATCCAGCCTGGCCTTGGACACTTCCAGGGATCCAGGGGCAGCCACAGCTTCTCTGGGAAACAAAAATAACCAAGCCAGTGTCATAATGGGGAAGAAATATTTATTTGAAATAATTTCTCTTGCTAAGAGATTCCTGGTGCAATGGATGGTGGAACCAACAGTGGTTTCAAATCTGTCCCGCCAGAAAGCTGGGCCTAAAGTCCAGCTTGGGCTGAGCCTAAAGCTGCAGCAGCTGCAGCTGCAGCCCTGCTGGAGTGAGGAACACCCAGCTCAGCTCAGCTCAGCTCAGCTCAGCTCAGCTCAGCTCAGCTCAGCTCAGCTCCTTGTCCTGGCACACAATTGTTCCTGTGTGTCCCTGGGCAGGCTGGGGAGGGAATCTGGGAGCTGTTCCCTCCCGGCTGTGCTGCCATGGGGCAGAGGCTGAGGATAAACCCCAGCCACAAGCACAGGCGGCTGCCTCCCTCTGCAGAGCTCACTGAGCCTGCCTGGGTGAATTCTCCACCTTCACTGCTCCTTTCCCGTGGTTTCTGTGCCCTGCCAGGGGAGAGGGATGAGGAGGACAGCAGCTTCCTGAACCTGTTCCACCTGGTGAATGCACAGGCCAACTTCCACAAGGAAATCCTCTACATGGCCATGGGCAGCAACAGCAGCACCACCTGAACCCCACGGAGCCCTCCTCCCTTCCTGCTGGATTTCTCTTTCTTTTCCTTTGAACATTCCCAAAGAAGTCCCTGATTATTTCTGCAATTCCCAGTAAGAGCTGGAGTGGCAGAGGCTGGGCCCAGCCGTGTCAGGCCAGCTGAGTGAGCTCATGGAGGGCTTGGAATTCCATTCCCTGTGCTCTGCTCCTCCAGGGAAGAGGCCTCTCCGTTGGGAACACAAACTGCACTCTGTTCCCACTGTGCATGTTTGCACACACAATAAAAATGACATGGTTTCCACAGCTGATGTGCAGACACCGACTGAAACTCGTGTTATCTCAGCCCAGAACCCAAAACATTCGGAGCTCTTACATTTATTTTCTCTTGGGAATCTGAGGAGAAAGGGAGGGACGGGGATTTGAGGAGCTGCATTTTTCCAGCTTGCCAAATTCTCTGACTCAGGCTCTGTGACAGAAATGCTCCATGGTTTGTACATTCAGCTCGAGGGAAAAGTGATTCCTGAAAGCAATTCCAGGGCTTTGATCAAGCAAGGCATTTTTTCCTCTCAATCTCCAGGTTTTTCTAAAGCAGAAGAAACTTCAAATCTCTCCCCCTGCCCCAGGTAGCAACTGTTGAAGTGTTTTAGGATTTAGCAGAGTTGAAGACACCCATTAAACACATTAAATTAGAACTCTGGTTCATTAAATGGATAAATATTTGCTGCTCAGAGAAGGGTTTGATTTTCTGCTCTGTTACCTTCCAGACAAACCCCTGTGATGGCAATAAAAATCTCTCTGTGCTGTTTGCAACCTCCAGGTTCCTGCAGAGCCGCTTTCCCCACCTGAATATTCCCTCTTCCACCCTCCCAGGCTTCCCTCAGCCCCAGCCTTTCCCAAATTTAGCTCGGGAAGTGTGGGAACAGCTGATTTATCACGGATTTATCTCAGCTGCTCCCATCGGCAGCAACCTGGGAGCAGCTCTGAAGTTTGTGCCCTAAAATTCCTGGCGGCTTTTGTGGAATCCACAATTCCAGGCAGGATTTTGCTCCGGGAAGTCAGGCGCCGGCAGATGGCAGAGGTGAAACCTCCCCTCCAGCTGCTGGAAAACTCCGGGAGCATCCCTTTCATCCCTCTTTTCCCTCGGCTGTTCGAAGGGGATGGAGAAGGGAAGGAGAGAAATTCCCGGCTCTGGTTTCCACTCAGAGATCCCGAAGTGTCCGCAGTGAACTCGAAATTCGAGGAGAAAACCCCCTCGAGGTGAGAAGAGCGACGGGAAAACTCCTCCAGGAATCTCCAGCTCAGATCCCTGTCTCTCCTTTTAGCCCGGGGAATGATCCGGGGAATGATCTGGGGAATGATCCGGGGAATGATCCTGGGGAATGATCCCCAGGAATGATCCCCAGGAACGATCCCCAGGAATGATCCGGGGAATGATCTCCAGGAATGATCCGGGGAATGATCCAGGGAATGATCCAGGGAATGATCCCCAGGAACGATCCCCAGGAATGATCCGGGGAATGATCTCCAGGAATGATCCGGGGAATGATCCAGGGAATGATCCAGGGAATGATCCCCAGGAACGATCCCCAGGAATGATCCGGGGAATGATCTCCAGGAATGATCCGGGGAATGATCCAGGGAATGATCCAGGGAATGATCCCCAGGAACGATCCCCAGGAATGATCCGGGGAATGATCTCCAGGAATGATCCGGGGAATGATCCAGGGAATGATCCAGGGAATGATCCCCAGGAACGATCCCCAGGAATGATCCGGGGAATGATCTCCAGGAATGATCCGGGGAATGATCCAGGGAATGATCCAGGGAATGATCCCCAGGAACGATCCCCAGGAATGATCCGGGGAATGATCTCCAGGAATGATCCGGGGAATGATCCAGGGAATGATCCAGGGAATGATCCCCAGGAACGATCCCCAGGAATGATCCGGGGAATGATCCAGGGAATGATCCAGGGAATGATCCCCAGGAACGATCCCCAGGAATGATCCGGGGAATGATCCGGGGAATGATCTGGGGAATGATCCGGGGAATGATCCTGGGGAATGATCCCCAGGAATGATCCCCAGGAATGATCCCCAGGAATGATCCGGGGAATGATACCCAGGAATGATCCCCAGGAATGATCCAGGGAATGATCCCCAGGAATGATCCGGGGAATGATCCCCAGGAATGATCCCCAGGAATGATCCAGGCGGGTGGGAGCAGGGAAGGAGCAGAGCCCGGCCCTTTGTGTGTCCCTGTCCCGCCGTGTCCCGGCTCATTCCCGGCAGCCAGAAATTCCAGCCGGGCACAAGCGGGGCCTTTGTGAGCTCAGCCCCGGGAAAAGGGAGCTCTTTGATTCCCCGCAGCAGCCGGCGGGGCTGGCATGTCAATTATTGATGGCTTTATTAATTGGCATTAACTGCTCCTGCACTCCCGGCGGCTCAGGGCGTGCTCGGCTCGGGCTGGAGGGGACATTAAACCCACCCAGTGCCACCCCCTGCCAGCTCCCCCTGCTCCAAGCTGGCCTCGGACACTCCAGGGATTGATTCCCGATGGGATTTTTGCCCCTTTTCCATCAAACAACCCTTCCCAAAGCAGTGAACCCCAACCCTGCCCCTGTGGTGCTTCCCGGCCCAGTTTGGGGTGAAATGCCACCAGCCCTGCTCCCTCCTTTTCCATTTCCCCTTGGATCAGACCCCGGGAAGCTCCAGGCGTGGATGAGCCGGGATGGGGGCACTGAGCAAAGGGAGATTTTCCTTTTGCTGCCGAATTTTAACCGCAGCAGTGGAGAGCGGGTAAAGGCCGGGGCCAGGAGCAAACCCAGAGCGGCAGGGCTGGATCCCGGCTGCCTCCCGAGGTGTGGAGGGATCCTGTCCCTGTCCTCTCCTGCTTTTCCCAGCTCTCCTCACCTTCCAGCCGGCAGGAATCGCTCGGCAGAGCTGCTCAGGACTGGGGCAGAGCCAAGGATCGCTCCTGCCCGGCTCAGTTTCCATTCCCCGCACTCCTCCTCCCCTCCAGGCTGCGGATGTCGGCCCCGACACGGGGGAGGTTATTGACAGAGCGACTTTGTGCCTGCAGAAATTCCCTCGGGAATATTCCAGCCTCCCGATTCCCGGCTATATTTAGTGCTGGAGCGAGGGAGCAGCGTCTCCTCTCACCTCAGCGGGGAGGGATCGCCCCGGGCTGCTCCAGGATCGCGCTCGGGGTGAAATCCCCAGCTCGGAGTTTCTCCCAGGAGTTTTACCCACAGGAAATTGCAGTGTCGAGCGTTCAGCTGGCAGCACCGACCGCATCCAGCATTCCCAGGCTCTGAAATCCTTCTCTTTTTTTTTTGTTTTCCCCCTGTGAACACCCTCTCCTGAAATTCCCATTCCAGCATTTCCTGACCCCCTGCTCTTTCACACGGTTTTCTGCTGCTTCCATGGATAACTGAAGGGGCACAAAGTTTTTCCTGTTGTGGATATTTCAGGTGTTTATTGCTTAAGAAAATAAAAAACCCTGGGAGACATCAGGAATGGGAAAAATTTTGCCTTTTAAGAGGGCAAAACTTTCAGTCCGTGCCTGTGAGCGGCGGTGGGAGAGCAGGGATTGATTCAGGCCTTCAAAAAAGGAGATGAAAAATCCTCCTGATGCCCCAAACATCTCCACGGAGGGGAAAATGAAGCTCTGAAATGTTCTTCCCATCCCACAGGAATCTCCACCACGTTGAAAGCGTTTCTTTCCCTACCCAAGGCGTCCTGGAGCTTCCCCAAACACCCGAGAGGGGCCCGAGTGAGGGGTGGGGACCCCTCCCCAGGGTGGGGACCCCTCCCCAGGCACCTCTGGGGGACACAGAGATGGATTTCCCATCTCTCAGCATTCCCTGGATGCTGCTGCCCTGGCGGGGTTTGTCCCTGGAGCCGCTGTCCCCCGCGTGTCCCCGCAGTGACACCAGGAGCCATCGTCCCTCTCCTTCCTCTTTATTCCTCCGTTCCCTGAGCGCCGCTCAGCAAAAACAGAATTTTCCTGAAATTAAACCCGGAGGAGCGGCCTCGGGCGCGACACAAAGGGGGGGACAGGACCCCAGCACCCCCCTGGGGACCCCGCGGGGACATCCCAGGTCCTGACGGGGGGAAGGACACGGGTCCTGGCAGGGGGATTAGTCAGGTCCCGGCAGGGGGAAGGACGCGGGTCCTGGCGGGGGGAAGGACACGGGTCCTGGCAGGGGGATTAGCCAGGTCCCGGCAGGGGGAAGGACGCGGGTCCTGGCAGGGGGAAGGACACGGGTCCTGGCAGGGGGAAGGACACAGGTCCTGGCAGGGGGATTAGCCAGGTCCCGGCAGGGGGAAGGACACAGGTCCTGGCAGGGGGAAGGACACGGGTCCTGGCAGCGGGATTAGCCGGGTCCCAGCCGCGGGACAGGCCCCCGCAGCCCCCTCCCGTGTCCCCCCATCCCCGGCTCGGCGCTGGGCTCGCAGGGGTTAACGCTGTTCCAGAAGGCTCCGAGGGACGCGCACCGGGCGGAGGCTGCGGGAGAGAAGGAGAAAGGAGAGGCCGCTGTGAGCCGGGCCCGGAGCTGCGGGACCCGCGGGGATGGAGCAGCTCCGTGCGGGGATGGAGCAGCTCCGTGCGGGGATGGAGCAGCTCCGTGCGGGGATGGAGCAGCTCCGTGCGGGGATGGAGCAGCTCCGTGCGGGACCCGCGGGGACGGAGCTGTTCCATTTCTCGCCCTCTCCGGAACAAAAGCCTCCGGCCCGAGCCGCAGAGAGCGGCTTTTCCAAGCGGGCTGGTAAATCCGGCAGGGAGAGCCCGGCCTGGTTTGTAAAATCCCCCCCGGTGCCCCCTTCCAGCCCAGGCTGCCAAACCCAAGTGCCCCCTGCCCCCATTCCTCCCCCGAAACCCTCACCTGGTGGGGCCGGGAGCTCACCTGGCCCGGCTGCTGCCGAGCCGAACCCGCCGCGGTTCCTCTCTAGAGCATGTAGATGATGTAGGACAGGATCACCAGGCCGATGATGGCGAAAAACATCAGGATGAAAATGTCCAGCATGGCGAGGGAAGGGAGGGGGCGGCGGGGCAGGGGCTGCGGAGCTCCGGGAAGGGCTCCGGGAAGGGCTCAGGAGCTCCGGGAAGGTCTCAGGAGCTTCGGGCAGGGCTCAGAAGCTCCGGTCAGAGCTCAGAAGCTCCGGGCAGGGCTCAGAAGCTCCGGGAAGGGCTCCGGGCAGGGCTCAGGATCTCCGGGATGGGCTCAGGATCTCCGGGCAGGGCTCAGAAGCTCCGGGAAGGGCTCAGGATCTCCGGGCAGGGCTCAGAAGCTCCGGGCAGGGCTCAGGATCTCCGGGCAGGGCTCAGGATCTCCGGGCAGGGCTCAGGATCTCCGGGCAGGGCTCAGGATCTCCGGGCAGGGCTCAGGATCTCCGGGCAGGGCTCAGGATCTCCGGGCAGGGCTCAGGATCTCCGGGCAGGGCTCAGAAGCTCCGGGCAGGGCTCAGGATCTCCGGGCAGGGCTCAGGATCTCCGGGCAGGGCTCAGGATCTCCGGGCAGGGCTCAGGATCTCCGGGCAGGGCTCAGGATCTCCGGGCAGGGCTCAGGATCTCCGGGCAGGGCTCAGGGCTGCTGGGCAGAGCCGCCGCTGCCTCCTCCCCTCCCCGGCCGATCGCGGATCCGCTCAGGATGCAGAGCCGATGCCGGAGCTGATGGAGCCGCTTTCCAGCGGCAGATCATGGAATAAACAGCGGCGGGCAGCCCGGCTCGGCCCAGCCCCGGCTCCCGGGGCCGGCTCTTCCCTCGGGGGGGTTTTTCTGCCCCTTCTCCTTCCTCCCCCCAGGGTTTGTGCCCCCCCGGGGGAACCGGCCCATCCCTTGCTGTTGATGAACAGCATCCTTCCCTTAACACCCTCCGGGGGTTGTTAAAAACACCCTGAAAATCCCACCCGCCGCGGGTGAAATCCCAGGGATCCACAGAAACCCAAAACGCGTCCCTGCGCTTCCCAAAAAAACAAGGAGCTGCATCCCAGCTGGATTCCCAGGGATGCCGGCGTGTCCCAGTCCCAGGGGAGGTGAGAACCCCCCAGCTCCGGGAGCCTCCCCTTGTCCCAAACCAACAGCAAAAAGCAGCCGGAAAATCAAAGCCAGCACAATCAGCAGGTAAAAATTAAACTTTTATTTTCAATCCGAGTTAAACAGGGAAGAAAATTGCTCGGGTCGTTCCATTCCGTGGGTTTTGTTGTTTTTTTGGATAAAAAAAGGCCAAATAACTATTTTTTTTTTTGTTTGTTTTTTTGTTTTACTGGTGTCAGGAAGGACACAAGGACAAACCCCCCCCAATCAAGCGACGGATCCCGAGGAAAACACGTTCTAAGCTCAGCACTGAGACGCAACCGGGGGAAGCTGGGATGGACGAGGTTTATTTTACACGTGATGAGAAGCAATTATTCGTTGTTTTTGTTTTTGTTTTTTTTTTTAAATCGTTTTTTTTCCTTTTTTTTTTTTTTAATTTTTTTTTTTAACTCTTATTTATTTATTTTAAATACAGGTTTTTAGGTGCTTTTTCAGCTATGAAAAAAAACAAAACAAACAAAAAAAAAAGGCAAAAAAGTGCATAAAGTTGAGAGAAAAGGCAGAAATCAAGCAGTTAAGAGGTTTGTTTCCCACGGCGGGGGTGAGAGGGGCACGGAAGGGGAGAATTTAGGGACTGGAATGGTTTTGAAGGAGGATTAAAAAAAGGTCGGTATCCCAAAAAAGGGAATTTCCTGTGTTATTTGGTCCATTAAAAAAGGGTTTATTCACATTGATGCTCCCCCCACCCCAATTCCCAGACAAGAATTAAAAATGATTAAGAGGATTCAGCAGGGAGGGGAGGCTCCCCCTGCCCTTGTGCTCCCCGTTTTAGCACCAGCCGGGATTCCCAGCCCATCCTGGCTGCTCCCGTCCCTGAATCCCTGTCCCCAATTCCCTTTTCCTGATCCCGCTGTCCCCAGTCCCAGCCCCCAGGAAGGGACGCGTCCCCAGCAGGACACGGAATGTTCCTTATTCCCGTTTTTCCAGTGGGAACGCATCCCGGGACCCCGCAGGGATTCCCGCTCCTCCCTCCCTGCTCAGTTCCATTTTTTCCCGAGCCTGACCCGCCCCGGCCCCTCCGGAGCCCGGAGGAGAAGGGACAGGGACGTGCTTTGGTGTTTTGGTCCATGATGCCATCCCAAATTGGTCCCAAAAAGCCGCAGCCGGCGCTGGGAATGAGGCTGGGGATGGCTCGGGGTGTCACAGCCCCCAGGGGACAATCAGCGCTCAGCAGCAGCAGCAGGAGGAAAACGAAAATTCTGGGGGGGAGGAAAATGCTCCCCCAGGGGACCCCCAGAGCCCGGCCCAGAGCAAGCTGGAGGGGGCTCATCCAGTCCGGGGGGGTTTGATCCCAGTCCGGGGGGCTCATCTTGGTCTGGGGGGCTCATCCTGGTCTGGGGGGTTTGATCCCAGTCTGGGGGAGCTCATCCCAGTCCTGGGGGCTTCATTCCAGTCTGGGGGGGCTCATCCTGGTCCGGGGGGTTTGATCCCAGTCCAGGGGGGCTCATCCTGGTCCGGGGGGGCTCATCTTGGTCTGGGGGGTTTGATCCAAGTCCCGGGGGCTCATCCTGGTCCGGGGGTTTGATCCCAGTCTGGGGGGGCTCATCCTGGTCTGGGGGGCTCATCCCAGTCCAGGGGGGTTCATCCCTGCACCAGGGGGTTCATTCCAGTCTGGGGGGTTCATTCCAGTCTGGGGGCTGATCCCAGCTCCAGGGGCTCATCCCAGCCCTCCAGGCACCCCCAGGAAAAGCCCCACGGCTGCTCCTTCTCCGGAGGGATCGGGACGAGCGGAGCCCGAGGCGGGAGCAGCCAGAGGCTCCTCCAGGGCTGCCCAGAGCTCGGAACGCCGAGAGCTTTTGCGGGGGACTTGAACCAAACGCTTTCCTGCTCTGAGGGCTGAAGGGAGCAAAGATGGAATGGAAACTGAGCCGGGGAGCCGGGAGAGGGATGAGCCGGGAACGGGAGCGGGATGAGCTGGGAACGGGAGCGGGATGAGCCGGGAACGGGATGAGCCGGGAACGGGATGAGCCGGGAACGGGAGCGGGAGGAGCCGGGAACGGGAGCGGGATGAGCTGGGAACGGGGGGGGGGTGAGCCGG